ACTTCAGATGAATACTTTGAGTGCGGTGATACAGTGAGTTTGAAGCCAGAAATTGATGGTATAGATCATGAAGTGAAACCAAGCTCAGTGGAGACATTAAGTCTGAATGAACGACTACAAGTACTGAAGCCTGTCCTGGAAAATGAGAAACTATCTGAGCTCAGCGGTCAGAACACAAAAGAAAATGATGAGCCTAAAATGCATTTTGGACAGGAGCAGCTCAAATTTCAACACATACTAGAGATGACAGCTGACAATCACCAGGCAGTTTTAAAGTCTGAAGATAATGCCCAAACTCAACTGGATGAGAAAGTTCACAGACAACTACAAGAGTCTGAAGTTACATCAGAGCCAGTAGTAGAGAGCAAATTGATGAGTAACTTTTTGCAAGAGCATGAGATAAGTGCATCTCTGAAGGTTTTAAAGATACAGTCCAAGGAAGATTCTGTAGAATTAGCTGAGAAAGTTGAAAAAGCGCCAATGCAAGACTTACAACTTAAGGTAAGTCCAGATTTAGCATCTGAGCAACCTGAAAAAGAACCACTACAGGACATAAAACTTGATGCAAGTCTGGATTTATTCTGTGAGGAAAAGTCTGTACTGTTAGCTGAGAAAGATTCAGAACCACAACTACAGGACTTAGAGTCTCAAGTAAGTCAAGATGTAAAGTGTGAGGGACAATCTGGAAAGTTAGCTGAGAAAACTGCAAAACCACCACTGCAGGACTTACAACCTGAGGTAAGTCTAGATTCAATATGTAAGGGACAATCTATTCAGTTAGCTGAGACTACTACTCAGAGACTTCAACCGCCACTACAGGACTCACAGTCTGGGGAAAGTCCAGATTTAATGGTCAGAGCTTCAGAAGTAAATGCTATCCCACAGCCAGCAACAGACAGTGAATTTCGGAGCTCAGTACTGCAAGATAAAACTGATGTAACTCCTGTAATTCCAGAGAAGACCAAGGTAACAAAGTCCATAGAGTTGCCTAAGAGTGAGGAACTGCAAAACCCATTGACTGATTTAGATTCTGGATCAGATCATCCACTCAACCTGAAATCCGAAGAGCATGTGAATGAGCATTTAAAACTGCAGAACGATGAGGTCAGTCCAGCAGTGCTAAAGAGAAAATCTGAGGAGCACAATCCTCAAGAGAAACTGCCTGAACAGTTTGAAACCATTGAGCTGCTGATATTAGAGGATTCTGACTTCCAAGAGACAGAGTTGAACAATTCTGATCCCGTAAGACCAAGAGCTGCTCTGAGCAATGAAACAAAGATGAGCAAAACTAAGCCTATAGAACCAAAGACTATAAATGATAGAAAATCTAAAGAGAATAAGCTGGGTCATGATGTTTACAGTAGGCATAGAAAGGAAACATGTCACCTGACAGCTCTGACTGATGAGAAACAAGAAGGGGAACATATTTGTACAAATCAGATGAAAAGGAACCTGCCAGAGGCAAAACCCAAGCTGGAGTGTCTGGTTAGGAAGGTAAGAATATCTTACTGTACTACCAAGTACTAACTAGTTTGAAAACAATTTGGAGAACTGGATTAAGAAAAATATAATTAATTAATGTTCTGTTTTTCATCCTAGCAACCACATCAAGCATCGTCCAGAATTCCTATTCAAGCTAGAGGAGGGTTAACTAAGTTACCCATCAGCAAAGCAGACACTAGCAATCGCTCATTTGGGCTTCGAGCACCTAGAGCTGGCATGCATAGACACCCACTTGGAAAACCACTGGGGCAGAATAAGCCTAGCGTTACATCACCTCCATCTCCTGAAAAATTGTCCCCAGGAAGAGTTGCTCCAGTTAGGTCAACACAAATTCTCCAGAGATCCCCTTGCACAGTACCTACACCAAATGGTCCCACCTCTGCCTTAAAACTGCCACAGGTCCAGCTGACTGCACCTAAGTTCGGGCAGTCAGACCAGCCAAACGTTTCCAGGAAACGTTCTGCGTCCCTAACAAAGTATAGTTGTTGTTCTTCTGGGATTTCCTGTCCAGCACAAGTAAAGAAGCAGGCGATTAAAGGGTCTCCGCCAAGCAAATAGTACAATGCAACAAACTGTTGTATACTGAAGGCCACTGGGTTATTTATTACTTATTGAACTATGTGAGTTGATCTCACATAAAACTATGCTTTATTTCTTCCAATTAGCCAGCAGAAAGTTAACATAGGATTCCCAATACAAATAGGTTTTTCTAAACTTAATGTTTATGTAAATTGCAGGCACAGACTTTTCGATAAAGCTTTATGATTGTCCTTAAAGCTATTAATATGTAAATAATTCATTTTTCCATTCAGCTTGATGTAAATGATCAATTATGGGTCTCATTAAATCGTCACAGTTCACCCTTTGCATAACACATTATTTCCTGATTCTTTTATGGGTTGACTTAGGCTAAATGGTATACTGAAGAAAACACTGGACGTGGGTGCTGTCCACTCATTTAGATGAAGGTCAGACACTCAAATACTTTTTTAGTTGAAGACTAGACTGTATGCTTGTAAAATTACATTTATTGAATTATTAAAATAGACCTTCCATACTTCACTTGATTACAGCTGGACTTTATTCTCCTTTTTTATTATATAAAGATGTTTTACCATTGTTGCTACTTATCGGAACAACTTCAAACAGAATTTAACCTATAATCACACACCAAACCCACACTCAGTCTGGCTACTTTTTAAGTTATTTTTAAGTGGCTTGGGATTGTGAGTGATCTTGTGGTGTCTTCAGCTAATCATCTTTGTCAGGATGTGATTCCAGAATTAATCACATATCATTCACGGGGTCAAGTGAAAGAATTGTGTCCAGGTCTGTAAAGATGGCAGAATTCCAATCACATACCTATTTCTGATGGTGTTCTGGGGCCAGCTGCATAAACTTAGCCTTTGTGTTAAGAACTAGTGTGACTAGTGTAGGGTAATGAGTTTTATTTTTCGGGTTCATATTAGACCGATTTCAGTTTTATGTAACCAACTTATAAAATAAAATGACCAATCTTAAAGAAAAAAAATTCAATGACAAACTTGTAAGACTAGTCTAAGCATTTTATCTAACTGGCCTCTGAACTAAACACGCAACTACTATTGAGATGAATAGGATGCTAATTCTAACAGATAGCTTTCTCCAGGTAATATAGACCTTCTTGTTGTAAACAAATGAACATTCAACAGAAGAAGTGAATAATAGTTTAGACTGACATTGACTGATTTGAACTTTAATTTCAGGCAGTCTTAAAATTATTTTCTCACTAATTTGCTTCTTTTGACAGCTCGTCTCTCTTTAGGCAGACTATAGTGTTACAGACCACGACTGTGGGGCAGTCGGACTTGTTACCCGAAGGTTGCGGGGTCGAGTCTCAGGTCTGGCAGGAATTGTCGGTGGGGGGAGCGAATAATCAGCGCTCTCTTCCACCCTCAATACCACGACTGAGGTGAGACCCTTCAGCAAGGCACCGAACCCCCAACTGTTCCCCGGGCACCACAGCAATATGGCTGCCCACTGCTCCGGGTGTGTGTTCACGGTGTGTGTGTGTGCACTTGGATGGGTTAAATGCAGAGCACAAATTCCGAGTATGGGTCACCATACTTGGCCACGTCACTTCACTCACTCAAAGATCTAGGAAGTGCTGGGTGATTTACATGGAAGTTAGATTAGTGATCTAAATGTCCTTCCAGTAATGTCTGTGTAAGTTTTATGCTTTCAGAGCAGGCAAATAATGGTCATATCAGCAGCAGCAAGCAAATTCAAGTGTCAATGGACCCATTTGAAATGTCATTTCATAAAAAAGAGCATCACCATACCGTACACCCAAAATAAGAACACTTATAATTGTTCATGATCATAATGTGTTCCAGGCAGTTTAACGTGCGCTTCACTATGCACAGTGACATGCAGTTACATTTCGTTTTCCTAACTATACAGTTTTGATTCCCTTAGAGTGATAATTCACCCACAATCATGTTCAAATTAACAGTGGAATCACAGATATTTTTCAATATTTAATCTTTTATGTCCCACAGAATGTATAAAGTCATACAGGTTTGTAATAACATGAGGGTGAGTAAATAATAGCAGAATTTTCATTTTTGTATGAACAATCCCTTTAAAGTTAGGTCTGAGCAAGCATTTGTGGGAAACACAAGACTGGCCATGTACTAAATACAGACATAGAGAACAATCGTTTGCTGCCCCGCTTTAGTTAAAGATATCTTTATAAGAAGTATTTGCAGGAAAAGAAGAAATAGTAGAGGATTTTTACTTCCTTGTGAAACTAGCAGCAAGATTTCATAGGTCATACATCTTAAGCTTTGTAGAGTGGTACTTTCCATCACAGAACTTTTTGCTGAAGCAGAGTCTTTGCCATATCCATGTCAGAAGTATTTTCTGCCCTCAGGGTTATAGAATCATTATGCAAACAGAAGAAGTCTTGATTTTCTAACTCACTGCAGCTTATCTGTGCCATTTAATGAAATGAATAGAACTGTATGGAATATCTTTTAATAAACTTTAAAAACCTCACTTTTATTTTCCTTTACTCTGACGAAACCGTTTGAGAACAGTATGCAAATCTAAGTTAACACTAGATTAGGGAACTGCCTATCAAATTCGCCAGCATAATTTATGCATTTGGGAGAGGATTTTCTCTAAGGCTAATACATTAAACTTATATAGTTTGTGCACTCCTGACCTTGGTGTTGCTAGCATACTGTAGAGGTGGACAGGGGGTTCTGTGAAGTGTTGACTGCCCTCTGTTGGCTAATTATTTTGGTGAACTTTGAAGTAAACTTGGCTCATCCAACATTACAAAGATCTCAAATCCAGTGAACAGCATGTGCATTAAGTCTAAAATGGCATGGCTAGCATGGTACAACTGGAAAATCTAGTTCTGACAACATGGTTGTCAATCTAATCTTAGCCGGCCCAAGAAAAGGGTGGATCATTAATTAAACAATGCACAGGTATGATATCAGTTAGTCTTTAAATCGTTTATTCATTGTCATCATGTGCTGTCAATAAATACAAAAGTCTGAAATATTAGTTACATAACAAAAACCCTGCATTTCATTTGGTAATTGACAAGTCAAGTTCTCAGAGGCAAGATATTTAGAAACTCTGGCCACTATGACCACATTTATGAGGCAAAGATACTTCCATAGTCCTGTTATTGGCAAAAATAAATATAAACTCATGTTGAAGTGTTAGTAGAAGAATCTAGCAGGAAAACACATTCAATCAAGTACATTAAGCTTTATAGATTTTAAGTGCTATATTGAAGTCTAAAAATGTACCTTGCATCTAATTTGCTTCGAACAAAATAAATATTGATTTAATCATCAGTACTACCCAGCATTACTACACAAATACACAGAAACTAGTGGCACAATAATAGCACAAAGTCATGAGGCACTGACACTGATATGTCACAGCATAGATTTCATTTATGGTAACATTTTGTCATTGTTGGCCACACAATGGAGTTGTTCATTCTCCAATAATTAAATTAAAAAAAATAAAAAATAAAAAGGCAAATAGAGCAGATCTACGATTAAAAGAACTGAAGACATAATTTTAACATCCAGTAGTCCTTCTTTTCTTTTAAATCTGGTACTTTCAAATCTTAAATAAAAGTGCCAATATTTCTGATCAAGAGGTGTAGTATCCCAGCACTTCAATCCTCTGAACATCAGCATTTTAGGGCACTGAACTCACATAGCATTACAGAACATCCAGGTTCTTTGAGCGCAGTTATTTTTTCAAAATATAACATGTACAACAAGGAGAAGGAGTTATGGAGTTAACGGAAAAACTGGTAATGATACAGGCAATAGGGACAGAAAATGTCTTGACCTCTGCGCACGATATGACTGACTGTACAAGAGCCTGTTAGTCATCCATGCCAATATTACGGAACAGGTAAGACATGGATTCTCCATTGTGGATGCGGCGAATGGCTTCTGACAGGATCATGCTGATATCCACAGTCTTGATCTTGGGACACTGGAGTTTTTGGATCTCGTGTGGAATGGTGTTGGTGACAACCACCTGTATAGAAAGACATCACAAAATCAGTACTCATGGAAAAAACTCATAATTCTGAACCTCAAATTAAAATGAAGCTTTGATGACCTCATCTATGGCGGACTCCTCTATTAGCCGAGGGGCATCTGAGGAGAGGATTCCATGTGTAGCCATGACAAAGATCTTGTAAGCGCCTCTTTCTTTCAGTGTTTCGGCTGCTGCTAGAAAACTGTCAACATCGTCAATGATGTCATCCTTTAAAAAATAAAATAAAATAAACGGATTAGAAGAGGGATGATTTTAAAATAGCACCTTGAACAAAGCTATTATTAACTAAAACTAGAACCATAAAAAAAACATTTGAATTTTTTTTTACTTAAAATTTAATTTAAAAAATATATAGTTGGCAACGTTTCTCATTTAGTTTAAACTAACATACTAAAATAACTGAAATGTAACTAACTACAAAAAAAAAGAATAAAAATTGAACAAACACAACAAAATTACAAAAAAATAAAAAGAAAATAGAAAAAATAAAATCTAATTCAAAGTATTAACAAAAACTATACTAGTACATCAGTGATACTAAAATAACACTGTCCTGAAGACATTCAAATCATCTTGAACTCACCACTATGATGGCAATTCGTCCACCTACATCTCCGACCACAGTTATTGGGGGTTTTTCTTTGGGAATTAGCACTGTACAAGAAGAAGGAAAAAAAAAAAGATAATAGGGAATAGGACGGAAAACAATAAATCAGACTGAGTGAGCTCTCTGAGATGAGATTCTTACATGGTATCTCTAGGCTTGGATGGATGGCGCCGATGTTTTTGACAGTGGGAGGGGAATGACGTCCATCCACAAGGTCAGATTCAGCGTCCTGGGCTTCACCGTGGATCACAGCGATGCCCAGCCGCAACCTTTCAGCAAACGACTGGGCCCTGTGAAAGTACAGATAAAGAACTTATTTTCAGTGTTTTTGCCATGTGGCTCCATGGAACTGTTTTGACACCCACAACCCCACATCAATCTGGTTGCACAATCAAAATTAGAGAACTAACACTAACTAGAACATTAGTGAGAGCATCTGACAAAGGTCGTTTAAGATGCTGTGTATCTGTATACATCTGCATTCTGCTGAAAACGTTACTCTAAATCCTGTTAATCAGGGAGGAAGGAGCAGTTCCAAGTAATCAGTGGTTCTCAACTGTTCCGAGGCACACCTTTGTCCAAGACAGTTTTCAAAAGCCTTCAATATCTAATCTGTTTTAGTTTTTTCTTTTTTGTAACACTTTACAATGTTTCATTTGTTAACAGTAGATAACTAAATTAATTAGCATAAACTAACAATGAAAAATACTTCTAAAGCATTTATTAATCTTAGTTAAATGTTGATTGATTCCAACATTTACTAATACATGATTCAAATCAAATGTTATATCTATTAATGTTATTTAATGGACCTGAGCTAACATGGCCTAACAATGAACAATTGTATTTTTATTAATTAACGTTAACAAAGACTGTAAATTTGGTGGGAAAGGATAATAGGTCAAGTTGCGAAGGTATTTTAATATTATATTCTCACTAAAGAATGGACACTTGACTAGTCAATCATTCCTTCAAGTATCTACTCCTTAGGTCTGTGGATCTTTTACTACTTTTGTTTTAGTCAACATAGCTAAACTACTGACATGTAGGGCTGCACAATTAATCGAAATTAAATCGCAAAGGCGATAAATCGCGATTAGGCAGAAGCTGCGATTGTCATGCGTATCTTTCAGTGAAGCACGGTTCTGTGATCAGCAGTAAATCTCCATCCGAAGGCCAGAGGGCGCTCTCGCGCTGAAACTCCTAATACACCTGGTAGAAGAAACCCAGGAATTCCCCATAGGTTGCTGAATAAACAGAAGATTTAACAGCTTTCATTGATTCAACGTGACTAATAAACACACGACTACAACAATATATGGTTTATCTGAGTTCGTCTTATAATTTATATTATGATAAAGTATATAATAATGCAATGCTAATCGACATAGCCTTTATCGCTGCTCAGAATTCTATGAAATATGTTGCGTGCCTTATTCTGTGTAAGAAGCCACATCATCTCACCGAAGGATTTATTTCAAACACTCGACTGACGTTATGAAGTGAGTTTGGAGTAAAAACATGTTATTAAATGTGGTATTTTCACGTGCTTTCAGATGGAGCAGCATTTACTACACAGAGCCGTAGTTCACTGACAAGCTACGCAAACAGCTTTCATAATCGCAGAACGATTGCATTATCGCGCGATTAAATCATCTGCGATTATGAACGCGATTTTGTGTAGCTTGTCAGTGAACTACGGCTCTGTGTAGTAAATGCTGCTCCATCTAAAAAAAGTATGTGCTGGAGATTTACTACTAATCACAGAACCAGCTTTACTGATGAGATGCGCATGACAATCGCATTCGATTAATCGTGAAAGCCCTACTGACATGACACGCAAAAGTAAGATTTGATTTCACCTTTTGGCTGATGCTGGAGATTTGGCCACAATTACAGCATTTCTGTAGTCAGGAATCTGTATACAGAATTTTTTTTATTCATTAATAATAAAAAAATGCACACAATTTATAAATCTTAAATAAGGGTATAATAAGGTAGGCATATACACTTATATAACACACACTCACATAGTGTCACAGTTCATTACTAACTAATGCAGATGGCCTTCCATCAGAGCAAGAGAGAAAATGATCATGAATAAAAAATGAATGCATAATCTTGAGTGGAGGAATTTATGCAGAGAAATATCAACGTCAGTTAAATCTAGTTTCTGTCCTGCTTTCTATTTTTTAACAAACGTAATTGGTGACATTCATAAAGTGAAGCATAGACTGCCTTATAATTCAAACTGAAAGCTTTGAGAAGACAAACAGGAAGAAAACGGTCAACAGGAAATCCAGATCTTATGCAAATGAGATCCACACATGCGTTATGCAAAGACCTACTTCTTCCTGGATGTACTGCAGCAGGAATGGTGAGGCCCGGAGATTGTCCACTGGAATGTTGAAGAAACCCTGGATTTCCTTTTGATGCAAATCCATAGTAATGAGATGAGTCAGACCTGCTCAAAGCCACAATGAACAGAACCACCAGACAAAACAAACGAGGACTATAATTGGACAATATCCTTATAAACCAAAAATGAAGGGACGATTAAGTCTCGGATGGACTCATTTACCTGCTTTACACATCATTGAGGCAAGTAGTTTAGAGACGATGGAGCCTCTCTTCCTCATTTTGCACTGTTTGCTGTAGGGGAAATAGGGAATGACGCCGATGATGTTTCGGGCACAGGATGTCCTGCAGGCATACACCATAATGAGCAGCTCCATGATGGTGGTGTTAACATCCCTGCAGATGAAGAAGAACAGTTTTAAAGACTTAAAACTTAATTTGCATACATGGAGATTTCCGCATTTAACATCAGTATTAATGTCAAACTGAGGGTTAATTTGCCTGATTTGCATAATTCTGCATGTTGGCTTCTAGGGATTTGAGCTATCAAGTAAAGCAGGTCTCTAGAAGCAAAAAAGATGATTTTGGAAATAAAATTAAACCCCCCAAAAAATAATGATTATGGCTCCAATGTCACTCAAACAAAGTTTCCCATTTAGTCAATTTTACTTTACAATAAAACAACAATTTTTAGAATGCCATTATTCATTTATTACAGAAAACTGTTATTACAAACAACATCATTCTGCTGTGAACATAAATCTAAATTACATTGTTATTGTTATGTCTTATTTGCAAATTGAAGCGCTTTTACATAACAAGAGGAATTAATTACTCGTGACGTTCCAAATGTAGGCTATATGACTTACTTTCTTCAGATGAACACAAAGAAAGATTTTTAGAAAAATAATCCATCTCTATGAGCCCATATAATGCAAGTAAATGGGATGGCCAAAGTTGATGCTTTAAACCACACAAAAAGAACAAATCTGTAATCCATATGACCCAGTTGCGAAACGATAGGTGTACGTAAGAAAAATACTAATATTTCAAACTTTTAACTACAAGTTGTTGCTTTTGGCTGTCATTTGAGTTCATGATTGAACGTATGGGTTAGCATTGTGTTCACTTTGTGTGTTTTTGAAGCGTTAACTTTGAGGGACCCTTACACCTGCACTATATAAAAATCTTTATTTGTGTTCATTTGAAGAAAGAAAGTCAAATATATCTGGAACGGCATGAGGGTAAGTAAACGATGAGAGAATTTTCCTTTTGGAATAGAGTATCCCTTTAAGGCTTCTTACTTGGACACAGTTTGGATGATGAAAACATCTTTGCTGCGCACAGACTCTTCAATTTGGACCTGTGTTTCTGTGGGAAAAGAATTGTTACTTTCATTGTTTCTTTGGTCCACAGTAAACATTTCACTTTACAGAACAGATTGGCTATTTAAAAGTTTGCACAAGGACGTAACGGTGCATGGAATGCTGGGAGAATTCCATCAGAGTGTCTGCATGTGGGAGTGCAAGCGTATCTCCATTTCAGAATACATGAGCATGACCCAAAACAAAGACTGTCAGTTTAATTAGTCAACAGTAGCTCAGATCCCCGATCTGTTTTGTCTGCTCTCTCCAGCATGGCATGCCAAGAATGAACAACCGCTACAGCAGAGGTCACAGCCATCGCTGGTGAAGATTAAAAGATACACAGATATTTATAATGGAAAGTAGAAAAGAAAACAGGCCTTCACCTCTGTTAGCTTCTTGATAGACCTGCACCTTTCCAAGCTCCACACCCAACCGCCTGCACAAGAACATAAGTTCAAGGCAATATGATGCAATATAACAGGTTAAATACACAAGAGAAATCTTTCATATTTGACACACAAGTTACAAGACGTAAATAACAGTTGTCCCAAATCATATTTCACCACAAAATCTAAAGACAAAAATAAGAAATGTAATTTACATAAAGAAAATGAAGCCCAATTATTTTAATTAATATTAGTTTTTTTAATAAAAAATAATCTTAATTTTATTTTATTTTGTTCTTCTATGTCATGTCAGCCTTAAAACCACGGCGATTTGCATGACAAGAAAGTCAAGTCTGTTAACCCCGTAACGGTCACTCACATTTTTGAACATAGATGTGAAAGTGCACGATCCAAACTTACATTTTTATAATTCATGAACGAAAACATTTTGTAACATGATATTGATGTACCATTTTCATGGTAATGCAATGTTTGATTTTAAAATGGGTTTCAAAGGTTGAATTTTGAGATTTAAAGTTTTCAATTGATATATAATTTCTGATGATTTCTAAAGTGTGGATTTTTAACAAAAACATTGGTAAAATATCTATTTAGGAGTCTTAGACCTAGGGCTGTCGCGATTATGAAATTTGGCTGACGATTAATTATCTAAAAAATAGTCACAGTTATTGCGATTAATTGTCTGTTTTAGGGCTTTGTCGATTATGCCAATTGTCGCGATTAATTGTCTGTTTTTATGGCTACTCTTGTCAAAAATTTATCTATTACTTTTCCTACATGATTTTTAACAAAAACATTGGTAAAATATCTATTTAGGAGTCTTAGACCTAGGGCTGTCGCGATTATGAAATTTGGCTGACGATTAATTATCTAAAAAATAGTCACAGTTATTGCGATTAATTGTCTGTTTTAGGGCTTTGTCGATTATGCCAATTGTCGCGATTAATTGTCTGTTTTTATGGCTTTCGTTATATAATTGACTAATTTAAGGGTTCAGTAAATAATTATGATGTTATCTTTTAATCTTTT